CATGTTTGGTGGGACGGGGATTCGAACCCTCGACCCGCAGATTGCGAGTCGAGCGCCCTAACTACCTGGCCATGCCATAGGGTTTTTACCTATTACTAGCATGTAGCCCACCAGAAATGACGTGGCAAGTACTACCAACCCCACCCCATAGCATGCTCTAACCTCACATTTCATAGCTAACTAAAATAAATATATTAATAAAGCTTGACCAACAAAGAGGGATGTTATACTGTTGTGAACGCTTTCACGCTTATTTATTGGTAATGATCAACAATATATATCATCGCTTAGCAACCAAACTATTATGGGATGTTATAGGGTAGTTTTAACTATTATGGGATGTTATAGGGTAGTTTTAACTATTATGGGACTAGCGTATAGCCCGTCAAAAATGATGGGGCAAGTACTACCACCCCCACCGCCACCCCATACTATACCCTAACCTCACAGTTGATATCTAACTGAAATAAATAAATTTTACGAAATCAAGCTTGACCAGCAAAGAAACATAAAGAGGCAGTCAAACGTTTGTAAACTATTTTCAATGAGTCAAGCTAGTGAAAAACAACATGTATAACAACTACAAATATTTAGAAAAGCCAGTGAGTTTTGGTAACAATTAGTTCCAACAATGGCTTTTATGTCATGTTGCTTAGCAACAAAAGTATATAGGTTATACTTATATGTTAAGTGGGTTCAGAATACACACACCATTAACCTAATAACCAGAGCGAAGCCGGGTACGTTCGCTAGTGTGTTAATATTTCCTTATATTACAAAAACCGTTAAAAAGTAGGGTAAACTCTGCTACGTGTAAGTAACGTGCTAATATTTCTTTATATTACAAAAACCGTTAAAAAGTAGGGTAAACTCTGCTACGTGTAATTAACATGTTAATATTTCTTTATATTACAAAAACCGTTAAAAAGTAGGGTAAACTCTGCTACGTGTAATTAACGTGTTAATATTTCTTTATATTACAAAAATCGTTAAAAAGTGGGGTAAACTCTGCTACGTGTAACTAACGTGTTAATTGCGTTTTATATTTGGCAACATTTCTTAACAGACAGTGAATATTTTTTACTAGAACGATAACGCTCTGTTTAATAAGTTGTTTTAACTTACCTGTAACTGTCAGCTAATAACTAACTTATAGATAATCCTGGATTATAGTTATATTGAGTTAGTGCAGACAGGTAAAGATGTCTCCTGTTGTTTTAACTTGCCTGTAACTGTCAGCTAATAACTAACTTATAGGTAATCCTGGATTATAGTTATATTGAGTTAGTACAGACAAGTAAAGATGTCTCCTGTTGTTTTAACTTACCTGTAACTGTCAGCTAATAACTAACTTATAGGTAATCCTGGATTATAGTTATATTGAGTTAGTACAGACAGGTATAGATGTCTTCCGTTGTTTTAACTTACCTGTAACTGTCAGCTAATAACTAACTTGTAGATAATCCTGTATTATAGTGATTTAGTGCAGACAGGTAAAGATGTCTTCTGTTGTTTTAACTTACCTGTAACTGTCAGCTAATAACTAACTTGTAGATAATCCTGGATTATAGATATATTGAGTTAGTAAAGACAGGTAAAGATGTCTTATGTTGTTTTAACTTACCTGTAACTGTCAGCTAATAACTAACTTATAGATAATCCTGGAGTTATATTGAGTTAGTACAGACAGGTAAAGATGTCTTCTGTTGTTTTAACTTACCTGTAACTGTCAGCTAATAACTAACTTGTAGATAATCCTGTATTATAGTGATTTAGTGCAGACAGGTAAAGATGTCTTCTGTTGTTTTAACTTACCTGTAACTGTCAGCTAAGAACTAACTTATAGGTAATCCT